TTTAAAAAATCTACGAACGATATACTAATGTATAGAAATGCATCATATAAATTCTAACGTACATATATGTATAATAAGAGCAACGTAAGACCACAATAAAAATGCACAAAATTTACCCGTTGCCAATTCTATACTTATACCGTATTAATATGCACTGCTGGGCCTTATGGTACAGCCTTAACTGATACTTGTAAGTACTTTCCTTAAGGCAGTACCAAACCCATTATTCCAAGACATTAAAATACAAAGAGACCCACGCAGCGACACGGGACACTCGATCCGCCCTTATAACTTTACCCCATACATATTAAACCGGGCCCCATGCCCTTTCGATAAGTCCCAAATAACAAACGGATAATAATAATAATACAAAAAATAGTTGGCAGTCCCAAAAAAATTTTTTTTTCAACAAAAATTATATTATATGTACCAGTAGGAAGTGTCGATGAATCAAAAAAAAATAATTCAAAAAAAAAGAAGCGAGTCAAAGAATGAGGAACCGAGCATCGAACTACGCTAATAAAGATTTCAAAGAGCATGCGATCATCAGGCAGGCCATCATTATCTCCAGTCTGCATCCTACTTCACGGTGGGGCCCAGAACTTGTCCCGTAGGCGCATAAGTGTACCGGCATGGGGCATCACGGCGGTTCAGAGGGGCCTTAGCCGGGAGGCGAGTCCCAAGAAAGAAGGGCCCACCATCGCGGGTCTTTGATTTACTGTAATTGCACGAGTGGGACTGGTGTGGTCAGGGGGGCAGCTGGAGGGGGCCCCCTATCAATATTTATATCGTTGGCGCTTCGTTAGGCCCGTTAACGGCATCGCTGTTCCATGTTGTCGAAAGCGCATCGGGCCCAAAAGCGGGTACGAAAGTGGCGATGATCTAAAAAGATTATTACTTTCACGTCTTACGATCCACTACAGTGCGCAGTCGTACTTGTTGAAATACGAGCATTCATCACGTGGATGCAGACACGTGCTACATTATATATATATATATATATTACACAATGCTTCGCGTACAGTCTACGCCAGTAATATTTTCTAATAGCGCTAACTACTAAATTTCGATAATTAATACACCACGTGATAATCCACTGTACCTTCATGATAACTCGTGTCGTCACTGTAACCCTACCTTATACACGTGTCACCGCATTCAGAGCACAGTGCATAAACGTCAGTTGCTTACGTGCATAATCTACAGGCTGGTATAATAACAGCACAGTATTACATAAACACCCGGTATTATATATGGTCTACTCCATATATAACAAAGTATTACACGTACCCAGTATTATTCCCAACCTCAATATCGTTACATGCAAATATACTCATCCGTTATAAATGGCCCGAGTGTAATAATTCAAAAAGTCCTAAAAATTATTATTTAGCCCAAAAAGTTTAATTTTAAAATTTAAAAACTTTTGTTTTTAGGAAAAAAATATACTTTCGCTCGATCAAGCACATATGTGGTAAATGATGAATAAATGTATGCGAGGTGGCACATATGCTGCGTGCAGACCTTGACCGTGGCCTCCGGTGAACAAGTGTATCTTTTACTCTCACTCGATCTCAGACTCCACTGACTGCTTATACAGGACGAGAGAACGTATACGGGGTACGGTCGTCAAGCCTATATGAATTAGTATAGTGTATTGGACTATAGCATATACCTAGAAGCGTTACAAAACACATTGTACGGTAACTGTACTATTTTCTATATATAGATATATATGTATATCAATGATACTACAATTTTAGATACGCACTTTTTGCCAAGGATTCAACTATTGTACAGTCCTTCGGTGCTGTATTATACTGTGCATTGTAAGAGACTAAACTATAGTATGACGAATCGAACCTTCTCATCGAGCATTGTGGGTGGGCAGAGCAGACTGAGATATCTTTTGTCTAATTGCCACGCGTGTTGTCCAGCAAATTTTTCATCGAGGAAGATTCAAAATCGTAATCGCTATAGTAGGAATTGAACAATTTTTTTTTTCAATAAAATTTAATTTTTTTTAAATACACATTTTTTTAACTTTTTCGAAAAAATTTATAATACCCGTCAAGTATTGCTCAGGTGCATTGTCGCTATCTTGATGACTGTAATTTGTTAAGATAACAATAGCAGCTTGGGAATATTTTTTTTTCCTTTACGTAACTCATGCACATGACCCTCTGCGTGATCCGTTCGTACAATAAGAACTGCAATTACAATGCACACTCGACTATCAAGCACTTCCGGTCCCGTCGACTCTCGTGATGAAACTCGTCAGAGGAAAAATTCTCAGTCTGTGACGTATACAACGCGTTTCCGTTTTTACCTTCTTACACTAATTTTTAGTATTCGGTATGCTATGCTTAAATAACACAAATATATATACCATTTAGCCGGACACATTACATTAACAATATCCGGGGCTAACTGTAAACAAAAAATCACGTGTTGGTACTAAAAAGTTTTTTTATCATCTACAGGTATAAAATTTTATTAAAAAAAAAGAAGAAAATTAAAAAAGGAAAACCCCTCTAATTTTAACTCAGCTACGTATCCCTAATAATTATTATATATCGTACCTGCTGCCTTAACCATTCGAATTGGCGATTGGGCATAGGGAGGCCTTCGAAGAAAAAGAAAGATAAAAGAAAATAATAACGAACGAACGTGGCGAATGATTATCGGCTCGTAAAACGTATAATGCACCGAGTTGCATTGCGGAATAAGTACGTGCTCCGGTCCCTTAGCCAAGGTGCGTGTTACTCGGCCGGGAATATAGCCAGGTAGGCCGAAAGGTGCAACAAGTTGCGCCATATTGAAACGGGAGGTTTCTTGATGGGAAAAAAAAGGTTAAAATATTAATAGATTTGCGGGTAGGGTGAAGAGGGACAGGGGGTGTGACAGTGGGAAAAAAATGCAAAATGGAAAAGGGGTCAAAGAAAAAGAATACGAAATATTTCGTTGAAGCCGGCAGCCGGTTGCACACTAAGAAAATCGGCTTCAACACTTGGCTGTTATTACGCTATACGCAAGTCGCCCGTAACTCGCTGGCAACGTTACGGCACTCGAAAATTAACCTGAAACTTCTTGCACACCACTATTACCAACCCAACAACGTTTTCCGAACGATACCCGACTGCATCAGGATATAGCCGCTAGGACGGTTTACGAAACCTAAATTGATGCGCGTATGAAGTTAATGTACCGAGAAATTTATGAACTGATTTATTATAAATAGACAGTAATACACGTCAATCCTAATAACCCTAAAGAACAAAAAGGCAATACAAAATTTTCAAAAATTTATTTTCAAATTAAAAATCAAATTCCTACATTTAACCTAAAAATCATAGCCTGGTATACGGATCATCGATAAAAATCGAAAAAAAAAAAATTTTCAAAAAATTCATAGGGGTGTGATATCTCGACACTGTACGCTGTCGAAGTTCACGCAATCGCCGTGGGATTTAATGGCGCTGTACACCTAATCCAAATTAAGGGCCCACCCCAAAGCACAGGGGCCTTACGATTAATCGTCCTTCCACTCCCCGTGAAATCCTTTTCTGGTTCCCCTCTGTCCGCTTCTACCCCCCCCCTCCACCCCCTCTCCACCTCATTACAGCACTCTCTTCAAAGAAAAATACCTGCTATTAACTTTGCGCACCGATCCGAATGACTTGCGGCGATTAATTCGTATCTCGCCCTAACGAAATGAGCCAGACGTATAGCATTCGCTGTTAAGGGTGGTTTAGGGTTCTATGGGTTTAGCTATACGGTGATCCCAATGGGGGTTTACATAGGTGCGGTATCCATCTCTACCCGGGACTATGGGGTTTACAGAGAGGAGGTATGCCCGTAATTAACGTTACGGCCAATCGTTGATAAAGAGTGACAAGGATATTTATCCTTACTGACAAAATTCTTAATCATTCGAATCATCGGGTTGGAGAATTTTTGAAATTTCTCTAAAGCAAGAATAACGCGTATGGATCGATTATGTATATTGCACAAAGACGAGGTATAGTCTATAGAGACATTTAGCTGCATTGTAAATGAATCTTTACCTTGTGGGTACTACTGGCTATTATAGACACTGCGGAATGATACTATAGGTATAAGTTGATAAGCTTAATCATTCGAATCATCGGGTCGGACAATTTTCGAAATTTCTCTGAAGCAAGAATAACGCGTATGGATCGATTATGTATATTGCACAAAGACGAGGTATAGTCTATAGAGACATTTAGCTGCATTGTAAATGAATCTTTACCTTGTGGGTACTACTGGCTATTATAGACACTGCGGAATGATACTATAGGTATAAGTTGATAAGCTTAATCATTCGAATCATCGGGTCGGACAATTTTCGAAATTTCTCTAAAGCAAGAATAACGCGTATGGATCGATTATGTATATTGCACAAAGACGAGGTATAGTCTATAGAGACATTTAGCTGCATTGTAAATGAATCTTTACCTTGTGGGTACTACTGGCTGTTATAGACACTGCGCAATGATACTAGGCATAAGTCGATAAGCTGTTATCAATGAAAGACTATACTTTGAATCCCGGACATAATAACACTAATTACGATAATACCATACCTATGGTACTATAAAACCGTGATGACGTAACGGTCGAAGATTTTTTAATTTCTACGGAAACTTTATAGTCTGGTAATAAGTATCGCCAAGTATATCTATATCTATAAAACGCATACAGGGTATATAAGAAATAGTAAATTTTGAAAAAAAAAAAAATTCAAATTGTACACGGGGAGCGATTAAAAAATTTTTGGTATACATAAAAATGTATATCGACGAAATGTTAAAACATGTAAGTTCGTTAACGTACCGATGAGTTATCAAAGTCACCGTGGTCTCTGGTTATAAAAAATATTCATACATTGTATAACCAAACGGGAAGCTAATAATTATTATTTATTAATATTCATAGATGTACCGTGCCGATATGTTAATCTGTGATTTATATTACAGGGAGGGAGGAGCGTAACCCATCGCTGGACCCGAAGATGAAAGTGGAGGCTGGAGGGATTCTCTCCAAAGGGATTCTCCTGTGGGTTGGTACTGTGGGCGGCCTTAGATGATGATTTCATTTAAATATTTTATAAGGATCGACAATGCCCGTGCGCATCCATTCCACAGCTGCCCACTGCACCTACAGTTACGATTAACCCTTTTCAATATTATTCACATGAAAAGGATATGGCAGACTATCCCATACGGATACGTCACGTATGCGTAAATACGTTCAACCATATCCTATACGGTATCTGGTATATATATATATATAACGATAGACATGGAGCAGTAGCAGCAGAGGAAATGTCTGTAAAATAGGATTATCAGCTTGATAGGTGTTAGAGCATAAAATATCCCACGTGTGGATTTAGCCAGGGCGCCGATTATAAATTCGAGGATAAGTAAGCCTAAAACCCCGTGAATGATTTTACGCCCCCGACTAGATCGAGCGTTCGTAAATCTGAAAAGTTTTATACGTATAAATTCTGTAGGTTAAGCAGTGAGAGGTTATTAAGGTAAGAATCGTTTTTCTTATAGCTTGCGGCGTTAGGGATTGAATGTTATAGGGATATATAGGGAATTTTTTTTTCTAGTGACATATTTTAACTTTGTGAAATCGAGAGATGGTGGTATGCATGGAATCGAAAAATATATTTTTTTTTTTTGAAATTGTAGGGTTGGCTATTGTATATGGGGTAAAAGTTTTAGTTATTATGGATATACCGTGAGAACCGCGGAGGTACGGTTTAATTAGCGGGAATCTTCTGATTAATTGATTCGTTAAGATAGAACGTGACGTAATCGATTGATACGCCGGTTCAGTTCTGTGCTGCAAGCCTTCAAACGGCAGCCCTCGGATTCTTCGGTCTCTCAATCTTTAAAATTCTTAAGAGACTCTTTCCATTCATTTTCTTCCTCTCTCTACTTCTTCATTTCATTCTGTCAAACCGAGTAAACAAGTTTTTCTCTTCTGGAAGGCATATAAGATCTTTTGAGCGTAGATAAAGGAAATTCGTAAAAGAATGGAGGGCGCTTCTTACTTTTCCATGGACATTGTCGCGCCTCTCGATCTTATTGAAAATTCGATTTTTCATCGATCGTGAAAAACTGAAGTTAACCGGAAGTCAGATTTTTTTTTAAACATACAAGGATAACCAAGCCGTATGCATATAGTGGAAATTGTAAAATAAAAAAAATTTATAAATACGCCATTTTGAATTTTCATTATCGATACCTTTATCTACGTTTTCGAAAAAAGGAAGTCGTTACTGTAATTTTATTTTTTTTTACTTCCGTCCGAAAATCAATAAACAGTCCTATGTCCATATCTCATATATAAGATCGACTAAAAAAAAGGATCGTTGAATTGACAAAAAAAAATACTCATAAGTGCATATGAAACAAAGCAGACTGCACCTGCACCCTCAACAGGAAACGCATCAACGAGCATTCCGAGTACCTCTGGTATTTCTTTTTTTTTCATACCAAAAACCAATGCAGTCACCCGGATGAATGCACTCCTTGTTGCACTCCTCATCGAATGGATGACTCGGTTTGGTTGCTTCCCTTAGACACGATACCAGCCTTAGAATTGTTTTAGGGTAACACGAACGTTTCGAGCCGCACGAACGTACCTCAGCATTCCAGTAGCGCATCCTGACCGAAGATCCAGCCGAGTAAACATTCCTTTTATTTTCTCATAGAAAAAAAAAAAGAAGAAGAATGAAAAAAGAAAAGATACAAATAAAAGAAAAGGATATCTCGCTCTTCGCCTACCTAGACAAACTGGAATAAATTCACAGGGCGAGAAGAACTGGAATAAATTTAAAGCAAACACTCAGCAGCCACGCGTCGTACATACGAAAAATTTCAAATAAGCTACAACAAAATTCCAATATGGCCGACGGATTGCATTCACCGTGAATATTGAAGTTAAAAAAGAAATATCAAAATTGGAAAAAAAAATAACGACGCCTAAGTAATATACCGAGTCAACTTTCATCAGGGGTACCAATCCACTGTGACCTGCGTACAGTTGGTGAATTTCGAAAGTCATTAAAAGTCAATAATAAAGTGGGTCGAGCGAATAACGCATTACGGTTACCGTTCTACGTACCAACGTAACAGACCGAAATTTTCCCCACTTCCCGTTCGTCTTCCCTTTCTTCTTTTATCACACTCGCATATCCTCGACGTCACTGATACTAACCCTTCCACCCCCCCCCCTGTCCCCTACTCACCCCATAGGTCACACTTTCAAGTGGGTGGGGGGGTCGACTCCGGAAGGAAACATTACTTTTCTGCCACTCTCAACCACCCCCCCTCTCCAACCCCTCTTACGACTACCGACGCCCGGCGTCGACTACTCTTGACTCGCTCGCCACTCCAAGTGAATACCTAATACTTTTCTACCGTACATTTATCTAGCCCATTTCCACCCTCTAAATGTTACACTCTGTATACAAAGTACATATACGTGGTATCCGCGAGGAATAGAGACCCAGCAAAGAGAACTGGCAACAAGTGTTATTTTGAGAAATTTTTAAAATAGTAAAACAGTCGTATACCAGTTAAGGAAAGTCATTGTTGCTCAGGACCGTACCTAGGGAGAGCGAGCAGGAAGGGCTTGGTTGTATGAAAAGCATCGGCAAAGGATTGGCAGTGGGTGGAGTATGTACAGTGGCGCCGCCACGCGGCAGAAACAAACTTCAGTACGTCAATGAGTGGCGCTTAGTAGACGCTTAAGGACTGATAATTACCACGTTCCCACCAAGATTAACGTCGCCCGCGAACAGGTTGGGTAACCGTACGAAACTAGCTCTAACGACAAAAGCTCAAAAGGTATATATGTATACCCGCCTTTCTGCCTTTAATTTTCTCGGACCCGAAGCTGCTCACGATATGTAAACAGGCTGAGACAATAATCATGGGAAACCTATACAGCGTGAACGTTATTTAAAGTCTGTTAAATTTTCTTACGAAACAAAGAACGCTCCGTAGCTCGTTATCTTTTTCACACCACGTCCAACCAGTCACTCTTCCTCGTACCTTAATTAAATTTAACTATCGATACCTGAAAAAAAAAATGCTCAAATTCTGTACATGTGTTTATTTCCCACGTTAATTTTTTTTCCCATTTTTATTTTTGATCAATTACATTTTTTCAAAATTTAATCAGACCCGATCCTCTCGAATATCATGATCATTCATCCCCGTCACGTTTACTTCACACTTGCCTGGGACACGTGTCGGGATTCGAGATGGTGATTAATATTTATTTTTCAAAAAGGTATTATCTCCCTCTCGCTTTCTCACTCGACACGAGCCTGGACCACAATTTTGAGAACGTAACCGAAATCACGTGACGCCTTTCCATGCGTCTCCTTATCGCAGCTGTAATTTTTCAAAGGTTTCAATAACACGAAAAGGGGGCCCTTTGTCAAATGAGTCCCATTAACTCAAAATCCGGTATTAATGAAACCGATGGGTTCGTGAACCGATAAAAAAAACACAGTGACTGGTAAAGTAACGGGGATTGTTAACAGGGTAGAATAAAGGCATAAAAAGAAAAGGTGATACGTCGTACGGAAATTGTATATAGGGTGGTCGACTAAAAAGAATCCTTATCGTGTCACCTTTAAAGAGATACCGCAATGTGCTTTCTATCTGACTCATAATTCCTCGAGTCATTTCATGTCGCGTTCACTCTGTATACAACCTAACCTAACCCAACCCAACCGCTAACGTATACCTAGGAACCCGCAAAGAGAAGGACGGTCTGCCCTGTTTAAGGGTGACTCGCAAGAGAGCGCCGTACGTTTCGATAGTCCCCAAACGAATCGGTATCTCGAAAACAGCCGAGAACGACCGAGTGAGTCGAGCAGCGACATTAATTATACTGATAAGGAATGGCCGTGCGTTGTCCGTCGTCCATGGGGAATAGACAATGCCGGTCAGAGGTCACCGAAGTGGCTAGGGGAAAAAAAAGGTAGAACAAACTTTTTATAAAAAAAAAAAAAATTTCAAGTAAACCTTTGTCAATTCATCCCCATGATATTTTGCAGTGTATTATATTTAATTATGCTGACAAATAATTTGTTAAAATTTTTTTTCATTTCACATATTTTAGGAAAAAAAAATTATATTTTCAGTATTTCGATACCAATTTGACGCTTGACACCTGCCACTGGTTACCTACGGGCGTAACAGTGGACGTGGGTTCCATACCACCTACCTACTAACTCTTGTATGATCCGAAAGGGCGATACCGGTATCGCACGAGGTGGTCGTACAGTTTTGCGGTATATTCTGTATATATACGACATGATTTTAATCTTGGCGGCAGCTGGTGGTCGAGGGGAAATGCATCTGCGAGATTTCGTGTTGAGCGACCTGAGCTTCTTTCTGAACTAAACCACACGGAACATCAGGTCTGCGTGCGACGGGCTAGACGGGACCTCAAGATAGTACCGGAGGATATTCATTCCTTTATACCGTCGCACGGTGGAATCGGTCGCCTTGGCTGTCTATCCAGGCGAGCTACCGCTTGATTCAAAAGCTGATAACCCCGTAGGTAGATCGCCATAAGAGTATGGCAAGCGATCGCTATCACGAGGACAGCTGCCGAGGGGTCCCTGCAATATTTTGACAGCAATGGAAACCCGCCCTTAGACATTTACTTAGCCGGACTACAACTTTTGAAATTCGTGGGACAGCCGAATACCAGCGACAGTACCAGTGGATGGATTCTAGCGGTCAGGAGGGACGAGTGTAACGTTATTAAATTTTGGTAAATAAAAAAAATAATGTAAATAAGACAGAATGGGGGAAAATTGGCTTTTCGATTTTTTTACCTTACCACCCTGCCCCCTGACACGCACCAGAGAATAAGGAACAAAGGGGGGTGGTTTGTGGTTTCCATGAAGATGATCGAGCACGAAGTCACTGGGGTCGGTGGGTGGATTAGGGGGAGGGT